ATCAATTCCTGGTGCCTTGTTCTTTGCCAATTCCTTCAATGCACCTTGGACTTCCTCCCTGAGTATCATTGGCTCTTGATCATATGCTGCCTCTTAAAATGGCTGAACATCAACCATTTCCCCTTGGTACAGTGACTCTGTGTATTCCTTCCATCTTCTCTTGATGCGTTCTGCATCATTCAATAATTTGCCCAGAGAATCTTTCAATAACGAAAGTTGAGGCTTGAATTTTTTCTTCTGTTCTCCCAGCTTGAGAAATACTGACCGTGTTCTTCCTTTTTGGTTTTCTGATTCCAGATCTTTGCACATTTTGTTGTAATATTTGGCTTTATCTTCTCGAGCTGACCTTTGAAATTTTCTGTTCAGCTCTAGGACCTCCTCATGGGAAAACAGCGGTGCTACAGATTATTTGCTCTTACAGCAGAATCATGGTTGTGAGGAATTTAAAGGGTTGTGTTGTTTTAATGTTTCAAACAATTCTAAATTAACTGAACAAAAACTGAAAAATGTTAAAGGAATAATTGCTAACATTCAGCAAAAGGTCTTCCTTGGAACAGATATCGAAGTTGGTTGTCTTGGTTACCTAACAAGGGTGGCTACACACATTAATCGTGGAGGTCGAAGTTTGTATGGTCACAGGAATTTTCCTACCTTGCTGCATTGCTCACCTGGTTGTTTTGCTGTTTGTAAAACTTGCTGGTTTACACAACCTAAGCTTAGTTCTGTTAATCCAAAGAGCAGTGCCCAGGAGCAAAATAACTATTTTCATTTGAAGCTAATTTCACAGAAATGAAATCTGAAAATAAGAGCCGGGAATGCTGGCTTGGATATATCATCCTAAACAAAATGGAGTCGGTTAGTCAGTGAGTCTCAGTGAGGACCCTGCAAATGAAGAAGTTTATACACTGAGGGGACCTGCACGTGGAGGGGTAGATCTCCCAGATTGTTAATGTGGGAAACCAGACTCCATTTTCCACCATCAAAATAGGTCCAACAATGGGTGCTGGATGTTGCTGCTGTTCTTAGGGTGGTGGAGAACATTTCTCGGTTCTCAGTAGTGTGCTGGACTCTTCTCCATAGATCATTATAGGTGAAGCCTAATTCCAGGAGCTCTGGTAGCGTAGTGGTTACGAATTGGGCTGCTAATCTAAGGGTCTGCAGTTCAAAACTATCAGCCGTTCTGTGGGAGAAAGATGAGGCTTTCTGCTCCCATAAAGATGTACAGCCTTGGAAACCCTGTCCAGGGTCACTGTGAGTCGGAACCGAGTCCGTGGCACAGAACCATCACCACTTCCATCCTTTTGTATGAAGCATGCACTCTGTTGGAGCTGAGGTATAGAAGTACCAACCCCAATAGGCAGAAGGAAAAGATTTTCTTGACATACAATCACCCTTTAAACAGAAATCAGATTACATTCATTACATGCTTTGCTAAATATACTCAAATGTCTGAGTATCTGACCCAAAGCAGGAGAGAGAGGATTAACACTGGCTGAATCACAGCTTGAGGTCTAAGGAGGAACCACGGCCCACGGCTGTGCTGAGTCCAGGTCTTGAGGCCCAGGAGTCTGAGAGACAGCAGTGGGGTCGTCAGCAGGCTCTGTCGAGGTCCCGTCCACTTCTCCTCTAATGTGTTTCTCCTGTTTGAGCAGGACTCCAGGGGTGCAGGTTACCTGGAGGGGAGGAAGCAGACCTCCCAGATTACTTCATTCCCTCTCGTGGTTCTTAAGGGAGCACAGTGCTCAAGGTGGAGTTTTGTGTTTGTTTTTTTTTTTAAAACAAACCAGTTAAGCTAAATTACTGTTTTGTTTTAGGAAAAGTTAAAGGAACCTGCTGTGTTTGAGTTCATCCGCCGAAGGTCCCCCTTTCTCGCTGACCCTCTGCTCTCTCTCGTGTTTGCAGTATGATCTGAAAACTGAGACTGCACCTCTTGTCATCGTCGTCTCTACCACGGGCAGTGGAGACCCACCAGACACAGCCCGCAACTTCGTCAAGGAGATACAGGACAAGACGCTGCCGGGGGACCTCTTGGCTCACCTGCAGTACGGACTGCTGGGTAATGCATCCTACGCTCTGCTCCTGCCTTGCTCATTTGTCTCGACATTGCTTTAAATATCAAGGGTTAACATCAACACTGGGCAGTCTGTGCTCCTGCGGGCAGGCCTCGTTCTGTGCACTGAGTGGTCTGAGCTCCTGTGGGCAGGCCTCATTCTGTGCTCTGAGCGGTCTGCGCTCTTGCGGGCAGACCTCGTTCAGTGCACTGGGTGGTCTGTGCACCTGCAGGCAGGCCTCATTCTGTGCACTGAGCGGTCTGCAGACATGCAGACGGCCAGTGCCACAGAACAAGGTCTGCCTGTGTGGAGGAGCCCCCAGTCCTGGAATAGGGGATCTCTAGCAAAGATGAAGAGTCTAATGAAGAATGGGTGGGAAATTTCAGATTCAAGACCCTAGCCTAGACCAGTCACATCTCACTAACTGAGAAGCTACTTCATCTCTTTAGCGGTTCTTTGGTTTGTGTTTTGGCTTGCTAGTCACTCAGGCCTTTAGTAACAGGGAGAGAGCACAAGGTGAAAATGGCTCAGACATTGAGTACAGTAATCGATACCAAGTTGTCTGTGTCTGTCTGTGTGCTGAATCTGACTGTTCACATTTCTGTGTCTTCTCTCTTCGAATATTTAACACTGGTCAAATGATCCGTTTGTGTCTGTTTTGATACTTTTCTACTGAAAACAGAAGATGGTTGTCTGTATACATGATGTTGTTTTTAATGTGCCATTGTATTGGTTCTCTCTCCTTTGCTAAGAGTTAGAGCGTTGTTTAGAATGCCCACAGGCCCTTTCTGTCTGCCTATGAAGGTGAGCATGACTAACTGTATGTTTGGGCTCCTAGGTCTGGGTGATTCGGAGTACACGTACTTCTGTAATGGAGGGAAAATCATCGATAAACGACTTCAGGAACTCGGGGCCCGGCATTTCTATGACACCGGACATGCAGACGACTGTGTGGGGTAAGAGCCATCCACTCTACACTGCCTCTTGTTGTTGTTGTTGTTAAGTGTTGTCGCGTCGGTTCCGAGGGATGGCTGGTGAGTTTGAACCACCAACCTTGCTTTATCCTGCCCCCTTGGTTTATACACCTTCATCTGTGACCCTGACGTGATTTGTTGTCGGTTGACTCCAGTGAGTCCTTTCAGACTGTCGGGCTTCAGTTGAGCCATGAGATGTCCACCATCGAAGTCTTGTCTGTGTTGTGTCCGGTCTGTCCCCCCTCTCACTCTGTGTGTGCTGCTCTTCATAAACTTTCCATTTCCTTGTCCACGTCCCAGCAAGCATGACGGCTCTGGAGTGTGTGTTTCAGCAGCCTGCACCTCCTACCATAACTGCCTACCTGCCTTCATTCTTTCCCTTGTCTGAACATAACACAGCTGCAAGCAAACATCCTTGCGTAATGTATCACCACATCGTAGGGTAACAGAATGCAGACACTGGGGCTAAACCCTTGCTCTTCCATGCATTGACTGAGACCGTGGTCACAGTGGTGAAACTTTCCATGTCTGTCTGTCCGCTGCAGGTAGATCCTAATAATGTGCACTGTGAGGGGGAGGCCCAGAGGGCTACAGGGAGGCATATGTGTTCTCGCCTTAGCACATCCCTGTCATATATAAGTCATCTCTGGACATCCTGTGTGAGTCAGCCTCAGAGAGTAAATGGAGAACTCGGAAGCTAGTGTCCTGCTGTGTGTATAAGTTAGAACAACCACACCGCCATGGAGGATATGGATGATGGTGTTTGCTGGGTATGTGTGTGTTAGAACAACCACACTGGCATGGAGATCTTACGCGATGCCTTCCTGTTGTCTCGGTCATAATCCAGTCTAGAGCTTGTGGTGGAGCCGTGGATTGGTGGGCTCTGGACCGCCCTCATGAAGCACTTTGCATCAAGTCAAGGGGGAGAAGCCACGAGGGGATCCCCCACCGCGGGGCCCCATACTTCCTTGCTGCGTGATCCCATGACGCCGGCATGTGCTGCCCTAGACACACGCATACAGAGTCTGTGCCTGGATGATTCCGGAGGAGGGGCTCCGCAGGCCTCGGGACAGGATGCAGTGGACAGTGGTCAGACTGGCACTCTGGGGGACGGTGTGGAGCCCTCCCTCACCCACTCGGAACCCCCGCTCTCCCAGGCCGCCCTCAGCATCCCTGCGGCCCCCCCTGAGTATTTGCAGGTGACTCTGCGGGAACCTCTTGCCCAGGTAAGAGGGCGTTGTGTCTCGTCCTGCTATGGGAACATGCTTTGTCTTTGTTGTCATGGTAGAGTACAGCCCACTACGGCACGCGGCAGGAGGTGGTCACTGCCCGGGTTGTCAGTAAAGTTTTATTGACCATCACTACCCTTATAACTTACACACTGTCGATGTTCACTCTCGCCCTGTCAACCGCGTACTTGAGATGCTGTGACAGGTCAGCTTCCCCACGACTCTGAAGGGCAAGCCTTGGTCTCTCACCTGAGACATTAGTGGTGCAAGGGAGCACTGTTGGCACGTGACCATCTGAGAGTCTGGCGATCTCAGTACAGAAAGCCAGGACCTAGGAGTCAGACACTCAGATGAGCTCCTCTTCTGAAAGAGCAGGTGTTGTTTGCAAAGTTAATGTCTGCTGCTGGCCAACTCAGCAAGGACCACTTAGCTGACCAGGCTGTGTGGAGTCCCCTGGAGTAGTCTCTGAGGAGAAGCCTTTACTCTCATGGTCTCGCATTATTCTGAAGGAGGAAATTCGTGTCCCGGTGACTTCAGCGGGCCCAGTCTTCCAAGTTCCCATTTCAAAGGCTGTTCAACTCACTACGAACGACGCCGTAAAAACCGCTATGCTGTTGGAGCTGGACATTTCGGTAAGTCTCGGAATGACTGGTAGTCTCTGCGACTCACAGTGGTTCCCCCACCCCATGCTGCTGCCCACACCTGAGAGGAGGCGGGACTCAGGGCCAGGACCCACCTAGACCCAGGGAAGGGGGTGACTGAGAGACAGACCAGGGAAGGGGGTGACTGAGAGACAGACCAGGGAAGGGGGTGACTGAGAGACAGACCAGGGAAGGGGGTGACTGAGAGACAGAACAGGGACGGGGGTGACTGAGAGACAGACCAGGGGCGGGGGTGACTGACAGACCAGGGACGGGGTTGACTGACAGACCAGGGACGGGGTGACTGACAGACCAGGGACGGGAGGGAAGATGATGAGCCGTGTTGTTGTTTAACATTTTATGCCAGCGAGGAGGAATATCGTACCTGTCCCCCCGCTTCCCTCAAGGTAAGGAGGAGAAAGGAACTGAGATGTAGGCAGGTGATCCTGGGCATTGGGGTCGCAGTGCGTGTGTTTATACAAGGACCCTTCTAGCTGAGGCCCTACCTGTGTTGCCGTTCATTCTGTAAACACTGATTTTAGAACTTAGAATGTTGGACAAGTACAGTGTTGGACCACTCATACCAAAAGCAACCTCATTGATTGGTTAGATTTTGGCCATTGCGCTTGCTTTATTTGTGAGTCCATATACCGGAAGAGTCTTGTAGTCAAATGTGGTTTGATGTCTCTGTGTCTTACTCACCACTTTGGATCCTCTTCTGCCCTTTGGGCTCTTCCCTAGAAAACAGCCTTTGCCTACGAGCCTGGAGACGCCTTCCACGTGGTCTGCCCCAACAATGACGCGGAGGTACAGGGCCTGCTCCAGAGGCTGGGGCTCGAGGAGCAGAGCCGGCACCATGTCTTCCTGGAGGTGATGAAGGGGGCCACGCAGAAGAAAGGTGAGGCCCTGAGCATGCTCTGGGGCCCTCAGGCCCGTGACTGGAGCTGACGAGCGAGTGGGTGGCAGCCCCCACTGATGGCTCCATAAACTAATGTCTGTGTTCATCGTATAAGCGAGAGGGTGGTGGGCGTCTCCTTTTTGGACATGACCAATTGTTGTGGCCCTGTGGTCTTTGGAAGCAACAATCTAGAACCATTTGATAAAAATGGTTTTCCTGTCCTGTTTAATTGTCTCCTGTTTACTGTAGAGGAGCTCTGGTGGTCTCGTGTCCCGAGAAGTCTATAGTTTGAACCCACTGGCCACTCCCCAGGAGAAAGGTGGTGCTCTCTGCTCCCTCACAGATTTGCCGCCTTGGGAACCCTAGCGGGCACTTGTCTGTCACACACAGTTACCAGGACGTGTGACACACTGGGTTCTTTGTTGGGTTGCTTCCAGCAAGCTTGGCGGTCCCAGCCACCCTGCAGGAGAGACCCGAGGGGACGGTTCTTCTGTGCCCTGTGGGTTGTATTACCTCAGTGACAGTGATTTGATGCTTTCGGTTTTCATAGTTAAAAGTTGGTTTTTCTCCGCACTAGAAATCATGCATTATTTTCTCAAATCTTAAACTTCAGTGCTTGCAGTTCTCATTCTTTTCAGGATAAATGGATTCTAGAATCTAATGGAATGGTGCCATTTTGTGGGATTTTGTTTCTTTCTTTTGTGTGGCATGTCTTCATACAGTTACTGTTGTTCTGAAGTACTGTCAAGTCGGTTCTGACTCATAGCTAACCTGTGTAGGGTTTCCGAGGAGCAGCTCGAGGGTCTGAACTACTGACCTTGTGGTTCGCAGTCCAGTGCTGGGCCTGCAGCGCCACACCGGGAATCTATCTGGGTTCAGTCGTCATGGTTACTATAATAATGATGCTTTTGAATTTATGGTTCACAGTCCAGTGCTGGGCCTACAGCACCACACCGGGAGTCCGTCTGGGTTCAGTACTCATGGTTACTATAATAATGATGCTTTTGAATTTGTGGTTCACAGTCCATTGCTGGGCCTACAGCGCCACACCGGGAGTCCGTCTGGGTTCAGTCGTATGGCTACTATAATAATGATGCTTTTGAATTTGTCATTTACCTTTTTATAAACTGGGCCTTCCCTCTGTGCTCATTCTGGATCATCACAACATGCAGTGCATTTGCAGGTCGTTGTGTTTGAAGCCTGCAGATGTGTTAATCTTCTCTTTCCGATGCCATGAACCTGGTTTCTGTCTTTCCCTGAAAAGGAGCTGCGTTACCCCCGCACATCCCCGAGAACTGTTCTCTCCAGTCCGTCTTCACCTGGTGCCTGGAGATACGAGCCACCCCTAAAAAGGTACCTCGGCTGTCTGGGGGGGAAGGGGCCGTGTTCTCTGTAGGACTCGTTCCGGGGCCCTAGCAACAGCCCTGTGCCCACACAGAGTGTTCGCCCAGCATGTTCCCAAACTCCTGGCGTCCCATCATGCCTTGCGTCTGTGGAGTTGTCACAGACGAATGCCTTTATGGTGTGCTTCCATTGAAGTGACGGTGCTTCATGTCTTTATGGCAGGCGCTGTCTGTAGGCAGGGCTTTTCTGAGTCCTTTTCACTGGACGCTGACCTTGTCAGCGGAGCTCATCTTGGTGACTATCTCCCGGTTCGCGTGTGTGGACCACCTGAAAACTGCCAGGCCTCCATCTCCCTGATGACAGGCAGCTCACAAGAGCTTAATGGCCTTTTGGTGGGCTCCGTCGGTGTTTCCAAGGAGCCCTGGAGGTGCAGTGGGTGAAAGCTTGGCCGCTAACCACCAGCTCAATGGTTCGAATCCACCAGCCTCTCACGGGAGAAAGATGAGGCAGTCTGCTTCCTTACAGACCCCAGCCTTGCAAGATCTCTGGACGGTTCTGCTGGGGTTGTCCCCAGGGTCACCGTGAGTCCGCAGTGGGCTTGGTTTATGGACTGATGGTCCTCTGAAGGGTCCACTAAATGTCAGTGTTAACACAGGGAGCTCTGTTGGACAGTGGTTAGTGATGTTGTCACAGGTCCCCCGAGTGGAGAGCCACAGGTGAAACTTCCCAGGCTCTGCTGGGCCCAATTGGTGCCCCCTCATGAGGCAGCCCCATCTACAACAAAGCCTTCCTCCTGCTTAGTAATCTCTGTGGATTGCAGTTGTTGGGCATCGCGTAGTAAGCAGAATACTTACGAAGCTCAACCTTGCATGTAATCTGAGTACATTTAGAATTGTCTGTCATGGGCACCTCTTCACTAAAATCTGCCAACTGCATCATTTTAGTTCAACTCTACTGGTTTTGAATGTTTATGTAGTAATTACAAGGGAGTTTCAAAAAGGAGCTCTGGTAGCGTAGTGGTTACGAATTGGGCTGCGAACCTTAGGGTCAGCGGTTCGAAACTACCAGCCGCTCCGCGGGAGAAAGATGAGGCTTTCTACTCCCGTAAAGATTTACACCCTCGGAAACCCTGTACAGGGTCGCTATGGGTCGGACCCGACTCAATGGCACTTAACAACAACAACAACTGGTTTTGAATGTTTATGTAGTAATTACAAGGGAGTTTCAAAAAGTGTATGGAAAACGGGATTAAAAGATAGTGGAATTTTTCCATGAACTTTTTGAAACCCTCTCATGGATCTGTTTTTTGTACTATAAAGGTGATCTGTTCATTGTAAAAAAAAAAAAAAAAAATCCAGATAGAAGCTCAGAAAGTGAAATTCTTTTACGATTGAGCCTTCAAGAGTTAACACTCAAAGGATATTTTGCTTTAAAAAAAAAAAAATGTCTTGTACTGTTCTGATGAACATTAAAATGAATCCATGAGAGCCCAACTATGACCTTGAACTAGCCTAAGTTAAGAGATCATCTGAAGAACAGATTGGATTCATTAGACACTAAAGACAAGAGACCAGCGGAGTTGTGAGTTGACATCAAGAATGTCATACAAAAGAAAGCAAAGATCATTAAGAAGGCAAGAAAGAAGGAAAATATCAAAATGGATGTCAGAAGAGACTCTGAAACTTGGCTTTCCAGCATAGAGATGCTAAAGTAAATGGAAGAATTGAGGAGGTACAAGAGCTGAACAGAAAATTTGAAAGGTCTGCTCAAGAAGACAAAGTCAGATATTATAATGAAATGTGCAAAGCCTTGGAGTTAGAAAACCAAAAGGGAAGAACATGCTCTGTGTTCCTCAAGCTGAGGGAACTGAAAAAAAATTCAAACCAACTGGCAATATTGAAGGATTCTTTGGGAAAAATATTGAATGATTCAGAAAGCATCAAAAGAAGATGAAAACAATACACAGAGTTACTTTACCAAAAAGAAATGATGTGATGTTCAGCCATTTCAAGAGGTAGCGTATAATCAGCAGCCATTGATCCTGAAGGAAGAAGTCCAAGATGTACTGAAGGTATTGTCAAAGAACAAGGCTCCAGGAATTGATAGAATGCAAATCGCCATCTTTTAACAAACTGATGCAGCCCTGGAGGCACTCATTCATCTATATTAAATTTGGAAGACAGCTACCTGACCAACTGACTTGAAGAGATTCGTATTTGTGCCCCTTCCAAAGAGAGGTGACCCAAAGCAATGTGGATATCATCGGATGAAATCATTAATCCCGCATGCAAGTAAAATTTTGCTAAAGATAATGCAAAAATGGCTGCAACCATACATTGACAGAGAACTTCCAGAGGCTCAAGCTGGATTCAGAAGAGGATGTGGAATGAGGGATATCATTGCTGATGTCCGATGGATCTTGGCTGAAAGCAGAGAATATCAGAAAGATGTTTACCTGTGCTTTATTGACTACGCAAAGGCCTTCTATTGTGTGGATCATGATAGGCTGTGGACAACATTGTGGAGAATGAGCGTTCTGGAACACTTAATTGTGCTCATGAGCAATCTGTATGTGGACCAAGAGGCAGTTGTTCAAACACAACAAGGAAACACCGAACGTTAAAATTAGCAAAGGTGTGTGCCAGGGTTGTATTCTTTCATCATATTTATTCATTCTGTATGTAGCTGGATTGTATGAAGAAACATATGGCATCAGGATTGGAAAATCTTACAGCCTGCAATATGCAGATGATACAACCTTGCTTGCTGAAAGTTAGGAGGACTCAAAGTACTGATGAAGATCAAAGACCACAGCATTAGGTATGGATTGCATCTCAGTAAATGTAAAGAAAACAAAAATCCTCACCACTGGACCAATAAACAACATTCATATAGATAGAGAAAAGATTGAAGTTGTCAAGGACTTCATTTTGCCTTGATTTACTGTCAATATTATTGGTAACAGTAGTCAATAAATCAAATGATGTAATTGGGCAAATCTGCTGCATAATGACCTCTAATTTAAAGTGTTGAAGAGCAAAGATGCCAGCTTGAGGACTAAGGTGCACCTAACCAAAGCCATGGTATTTTCAATTACCTCATATGGATGCGAAAGCTGGACAGTGAATAAGGAGGATCGTAGAAGAATTGATGCCTTTGAATTGTGGTGTTAGGGGAGAATACTGAAAGTGCCATGGGCTGCCAAAAGAACCAACAGATCCGTTTTGGAAGAAGTGCAGCCAGAGTGCTCCTTAGAGGCCAAGATGGCCAGACTTCGTCTCTCATGCTTTGAACATATTCTTAGGAGGGACCAGTTCCTGGAGAAATATATCATGTTTTGTAAAGTGGGGGGTTGAAGAAAAAGGGGAAGACCCCGCGACTGATCGGCCCAGTGGCTACAGCAATGGACTTTGGCTTAGGAACGATTGTGAGGTCGGCCCAGGACCGGGCAGTGTTTCGTTCCGTTGTGTGTAGGGTCGCTGTGAATTGGTGCCGACTCGATGGCCCCTAACAGCAACAATACTGTGCTCACTTGTTCTGTGAGTTGCCTTTTTGGTTGGAAAAGAAATCCAGAGCTTGGGTATCCTTCCATGGAATGACCTGGCGGTGTCCTTGATGAATGCTGAGCCCACCAACCGCTCCACTGGGAGCGAGGCTGCCTGCTCCCATGAAGCTTTGTGCTCTGGGAAAGCCTATACAGGACCACCGTGAGTCTGAATTTATTCACTGGGTCCACGGCACGTAACGACAACAGAGTTGCCGTGTAATAAATAATCATCATTTACATTTTCGCTGCTTTTCACTGGAGTTTTGGGATGTGCACAGTGACTGTCTCTGCTTGTTAACTGGAAGGGTGGAGGGTCTAGTCCACGTGGAAGCACCTCAGAGGAAACGTGCTGGGATCCACTTCTGACAAACTCAGTCCCTGATGCCCGGTGGAGCACAGGTGTGTCCCGTGGACGACAGCTGATTGCTTTCGAATGGCCACTGTTGAACTTTGAGGTCCTGGTCTGGCGCTTTAGGATAAGCACTGGACTGCTAACCGCCAGGTCTGCAGTGCCAGCCACCAGGCCCTCCTCCAAAACCTGAGGCCTGTTGCTGTGGGTCGGAGCCGACCACTGGCACTCAACAGCAAGAGCAGGTCTTCTCGTTGATGTGACACCTAGAGACCCCCATACAACAGAGTGAGCCACGCCGGCCCTGAGCCAACCTCACAGTTGTCATAAGTGACGCTTGAGCTCATTGCTGCAGCCACGGCGCCAGTCCAGCTTGCTGGGGCCCTTCCTTGTTTTCACTGACCATCCACTTTACCAAGCGGGATGTTCTCTGGGGACTGACCCCTCCTGATAACGTGTCTGAAGCAACTCGAGACGTTAGAATCTGTGCCCTAAACTGCTGTTGGTAAGCTTGAGTTTTGCTCACTGGAGATCTACGTTCCTGTATTTGTTCCAGGGTCTTCCTGAGCGCGTGGTCTGTGCTCAGCATGTGGCTCAACAATCGGGGACACCTGGCATCTGCTGTCCCTGGGAACTGTAGGCAGGGGCCCTACGCAAGGCTGCTGGCCATCTGACTCGGCTGCGTCTTGGCAGCCTGTTGACCCCAGGAGAACAGCCACCGTGTCTGGCCCTGCGGAGCAGGTTAGCGCTGCCTGGGAGCGTTTCCAGTGAGATGTGAGGGGCATCACTAGTGGAAGTGTGTGGTTCCTGAGGAGCCCATGAATCTAGAGAGCTAGGTCAGCACGTTTCCAGCCCTCCAGTGGCTCCCAGAAACTTGCCGGCGTAGACTCGGTGGGCTTGTGTGAACTCCTGTGTCCTGGTGTGGTGCTGCATGGGTAAAGCACGGAAACGCTAAGTGTAAGGCCAGCGCGCCAAGCCCCCCAGCTGCTCCTCGGAAACCCTGGACAGCGTCACTGCGTCACAACAACAACATAATGAGCAAGCCTTGGTCATGAGGCCACCTGCAGCTCTGAGGAGCAGGTTTATGCTTTTGTGCCAGAGTTTGGCCCTGTCCATCTTGGAGACTTGACTTCAGGTCTTTGTAATTGTGTGTGTTCCCCAACTGCCCACCACAGCCTGAGGTGGCTCGGGACGGCCCCGGTACCTCCTGGTACTTGCTCGGCTGGCTGTCCACCGAACAGGGCCTATTTGCCGCTCGGGCTGCTCTCGGGAAGTCCCTGAAAATGCCCTAGTGTCTGTCAGAGCTTCAGCCTGCTCCACACTGACAGCTGCCAACTTAGATACTGCTGCCACTGCTGCAAGCCACCTGTGAACTCTGAGGGGCATGAGGGGTGACCTGTGAACTCTGAGGGGCATGAGGGGTGACCTGTGAGCTCTGAGGGAGGATGAGGGGTGACCTGTGAACTCTGAGGGGCATGAGGGGCGGCCTGTGAACTCTGAGGGGCATGAGGGGTGACCTGTGAACTCTGAGGGGCATGAGGGGTGACTTGTGAACTCTGAGGGGAGGATGAGGGGTGACCTGTGAACTCTGAGCAGGGATGAGGGGTGACCTGTGAACTCTGAGCAGGGATGAGAGGTGGTCTGAGGGGAAGGTGAGGCGCAGTCTGGGCATCTGAGGGTGGATAGGGCCATTGGATCCCCGAACCGCTCCTGCCTGGCAGCTGGTTATAGCAAGCCCTTAACGGTTATTGAATGTGTAAGTCTGCTTGTGTTCAGCAGCTTAGGGGAGGTCAAGTATCCTGTCTCAAGAGAAGCACTTAAATTGTGGGACCATCTGACCATGCCCTGGTCTGTGACCTCAGATGGCTTCAGGAGGTGAGGAGAGAGGCCACAGCCGGGCACATGGGCACTGTCACCCCAGTAGGCAGACGTGAAAGCAGCTCTGAGTCGCAGGCTGTTTTGCTGCCCCGCCCAGCCATGGCTCTCCTCTGGTTGACGGGTGACGTGACATCACCACAGCCAGAGTCCAGGGTTGACCTCTGCCCCCTTCTGTGCCCAGGCCTTTCTGCGCGCCCTGGCCGACTGTACCCACACCACCACCGAGAAGCGCCGTCTGCAGGAGCTGTGCAGCCAGCAGGGAGCCGCCGACTACCAGCGTTTTGTGCGGGCCGCCCACCTCAGCCTGCTGGACCTACTGTGTGCCTTCCCCTCGTGCCAGCCCCCGCTGCGGCTGCTGCTCGGTGAGGACACCGTGCGTGCGTGTCCCTGTAGGTATACGGGTGGCATCCTATCACAGACAGGAGCGAATTCAGCAGTCAGATACTGAGTGTGGAACCTTTTAATTCAGCACCTTTGCATATTGAAGGTACTCTATTGAGAAACCATGGGGTTTCAGAGTGTCTGTCACTGAAGAGCCGTAGTCCTGGTAGTGCAGTGGTTAAGCGCTCATCTGCTCACAAGAAGCTCGGTGGTTTGAACTCACCAGTTGCTGCCTGGGAGGAGAGAGAGGGTGCTCTCGTGAGCTGCCCCCTATAGCTGATGACCTAGGAACCCTCAGGGACACTTCTCCTCTGTCCTGGGGATTGCCGTGAGTCGGCATCGACTTAACAGAACACAACAGTCATTGCACGTGTTTACTGTATGTGTAGGTGTCCCTGTGTGTGTGCATCACGTTTACTGTAGGTGTAGGTGTCCCTGTGTGTGTGCATGTTTACTGTATGTGTAAGTGTGCCTGTGTGTGTGTATCATGTTTACTGTATGTGTAAGTGTGCCTGTGTGTGTGTATCATGTTTACTGTATGTGTAGGTGT